GATCTACCCCCACTACTCTCTACCTTCTCTAATCAGTCCTAAACAGAATGCCAGATGAAGCCTGATAAATAGCTGCCCAGTGCTGACAAAATTAAGTGGAACCTTCTTGGCTTGGCCAGTCCTCCTCCATTTAGTCTTAACTTCTTAGGCTATACTCCAGCTAAACATGTGCTATTTCCTGAACTACTCTTTTTGGCCTCCTCTCCCCTCTGCTCATCATAGCTTTCCTTGACATCTGAATACAATTCCTTGACTTTCTTACCATTTTAAAGAATCACAGATCTTAGAGTTGGAAGGGTATCTAAGAAATTCTCTAGTCTAGACCTTTGCCTTCAGGAAGATAAAATCTTTAAGTCCAAGTATGCAAAAAGGTGAAGCAGCTGAAGCCTGGAGAAAGTAAGCACTTACACAGCATCACACAACCATACAGGTGTGGAAATCAGATGATGTTTACATCTCTACAATGACCAATTTATAACTATACAATATTGAAGAATCATACAATGAAATATATAGCTCTAGCCAACTTAAGATTGTTTCCTCTGACAGGATACAAGACAAACAATCAGTTTGCTTGAGTTTTAAAAGGATTTTTCTTCTGCCCCACTTGAATGACCAATAAAGACACGACAAATGTCTAATTGGCAAAGTGAAAGAGGGGGATATACATTAGCATTACCAACTTTTTAAGAGGATACTTTTAAGTTACTTACTTAACCTGTTTGTTTACAACAATGCCTACAGCATGTTGAGTAACATTATAGACCCGTCCAGTCTTGCCATGGTAACATTTGTGGGGCATTCCTTGCTGAACTGTGCCCATACCCTGGAAGGAAGAGAGTGGGAAAATGCATAACACTTAAATATAAAAATATAAATTACTCCCTTAACATATAGATTACTCATCCCCATTCAAATCATAAAATTTTATTTAGCATGAGTAATGTTGATTAATTTTAGAAGATTCTATGGTAATCAGATGAGCTTTCAGAGCCAGTAAAATTGTTTTCATTTTACTCATATAAGACAATCATTATCAAACTCAAGTGTTAACATGTAAAGCAAGTAATAGACACAACTGAAATATATCTCTCAATGGATTTTTATATTGCTATAAATTTTAAGGAAAAATAAGCACAGTAAATTGAAATCCCACCTCCCATGCCCAGAGCTCCAAGCTTGCTTCAGTACAATTTGTTAAAAGGAGTAAAACCAGTGGGAGGGAGATAGTAGCTGAATTTTTTTATCTACCTTAAGTTTCACAAAGCACTTTATATATATGATCTAATTTGACCTTCACAATAATCTCCTGAAGCAGGTGCTATTATTTCACTAAGGCTCAGAAAGATTAAGGAACTTGCCAGAAGTATACACAGAAAGTGAATGAGACAGGAACGAAAGAGGAGCTCCTCAGTGCAACAGCTTCCATGTTGGAAGTAAGCATCTTTATTCAACAAGTATTAGGGTTAAATCAAACTTTACATTTTTGTAAGCAGAAGTCAATGTACCAAACTTCACAACATACCTTGATATCTACAATATCACCTTTCTTGTATATTCGCATATATGTAGCCAGAGGGACAACACCTGTAAAAAAATATTTACACAGTCTCAAGGTAAAATAGCTTAGAAGAATGTATTTCAATTCCTAGAGTTAAACTTACATAACCTAAAAGCATCTAAAGATCCCAGTCTCATTCAAATAGACAAATTCAAGGAACACTTTTTAAAAAAGGCAGCTTCAGTCACCACTACCTTTCTTCCCATTAAAATTTAGCCATTTTTCACTCAATTTCAAAATAAGGCATTGATCAATACATAAGCCTAAAGTCCAGATTTTTACAAGTTTTAATTATAAAACAGAGTACCTATTTTATGCACTAAGCATATAAATTAATCTCTGCACAATTTATAATCTAGTACTATTTACTTACCATGTTTTCGAAAGGGCCTAGAAAACATGTATCGAGTCCCTCTCCTTTTTCCTTTTGTATTCGTCATTTTGGTGACTCACTGCAACAGGCAAGCACAAGATGTTATTTCATATACATGTAGTCATCAGAAGAATTATGTATTCTAATAGCAATACTAAATTAATCAGTCTGTTTTGTAACAAAGGCCAGAGTTAAGAGTAGATATGTTGCATGCACGTATCACTCATTTAACCCCTCCAACCATAGTTGCATAATCTGTAAAATAGAATATTTGTATTACCTATCTCACAGACCATCTATTCTAACACACTTTGGAAACTGAGGCCCAGGGAGAGCAAATTATTTGCCCCATGTCACACAGGCTAGTCCTTTTTCCAATATAACTGTAAGCAAAGAGCTTTATAAACTGTAAAGTCTTGTGTAAATGTAAACTATAATCACCCACTAATTCTAAGGTTTTCTGTGTAGGTGGTGTCTCTTTTGGGGTGGGATGGGGGGACTTACAGGGGAATCTTGATTCCTAAGGATTATTACTGATAATTAATTCTTCCAGGAATTTAAACAATTCATAGTTTGAAGATTTACAAAGCACTTCTCCTCACTTTTACAAATGAATAAAGAGGCTCATGGAAGTTAAATTACTTAAATTTATTTTAAAAAAAAGATACATCTAACTTAATTATATTAGAGTAATGTAGTGAAAAGAGAGCTGGACTTGTAGTCAGGACCCTTGAGCTTGAATTTTGCCTATGCACCTTTGTGAAACAACCGCCAACTTAACTAACCTGAACCTCAGTTTTCTCACTTGTAAAACAGGGATAGTACTCAGTAGTACACAGTTAATTGTTCTGATAATCCAATGACATAATACAAAACATTTTGTAAATATTGAGTATCCTGTCCCCTCACTTTTTTCAATCCCTAGCTTCCTTCAGATTCAGTTGCTTCCTCATGCATCAAATAACACCTGATTCCCCTTAATTATTACCATTCTCTCCCCCCTTAAATTACTAAATACCTGTCTGAAATTAAGCTACCAAGAAGGCTTTGTATCTATCCCATGCATATGGAGTTTATTCAATTAATATAACTGGCTAGATTCTCACTGGGTAATGAAGCTTTCCTTAAGACAAAGTAACACATCTGCCAAAATCCTTTACTCAAAAATTAAAAGCATTTAAGTACAAGACTACTCTAATTATTAGTTTATTAGACCTTGAAAACTACTTCAACAAAAATAACTTTACACACTCCATTAAACGGATCATTCATTTACTGTGAAAACCCAGCATTAAAATTATTTTTTCTTCCTAGTAACTGTCAAATGGAAAAAAACAAAGACTACATGTTATCCTTTAAGCTCTACACTAAATCTCAAAAACAAAGCATGTAACTATAAAAATGTTAAGAAGCATGTTCAAAGTTGCTGATATGGGTAAAAATTAAGACCAATTTTTAAAAAAACCTAATTTAGGCCTTGGCTATGCCCTGCATTCCCTTAGTTAACTTGGAATCATAGACTTAGAGGTAGCAGGGATCATAGAACCCATCAAATCCAACTTCATTTTACAGATAAGGAAACTTGTAAGTGACTTGCCCAGGGTCACAAAGTATTAAGTATCAGATCTGAACTCAGGAAAATGAGTCTTCCTGACTCCAGGCCCAGAACTCTTTCCATAGTGAGCCTCCTGGTTCACTATCCTAGGAAAAAGAGGTTTGCTCCCTAGGTCCTCCACAGGTAGGATTAATTGGATCAATCAATCAACATTTATTAAGTATCTTCCTTGTGCCCTGCAAAAGACATTCCGCGCCCTCAAGGAGCTCACAACCTGCAAATACACAAATACATCCTATGGAACGTCTAAGTTTTCCATAGCACTTTGACCTGAGAGCTAACTTAATCCTCACAATACCACTATTAGAGAGGCAGAATATGTCTCAATAATCTCACTTTACAACTAAGTAAACTGAGGTTCGGGGAGGAAAAATCCGAAGCCGAGGCTCGAATTCAATTCGATCTCTTTTAAGACACACAAGCGCAAAAGGAACTGTGCCAGTCACTGGTTTTACAGAGGCAAGAAACGACGAACGTTAACTTTTTAAGTCTATACCAAATACAGGTGAGAGAAGCAGATGCAGGGCATCTTCCACTGCACCACGCTTCCTCCCCGATGCCATGAGAATCTAACTGAACACCCACTCCGCCCCTGCAATGCCTCCAACACGCTCGCCCCTCCTGTGCTTCACCACCCACTATCCCCTCGTCCTCCGAGAGATTTAGAGAGGTTCCCCTCCCCCTCCCCCCCCCCCCGCCGGCTGGTGGAGGCGAGCGAGCCGCAGGGAAAGCGCAGGGGGCCGCTTCGACAGCCCGCTCCACCTTCGCCCCACGCTACGGCCCCCAGCAGCAATGCGGCCTCGCCGCCCCACCCGCCGATGCTAGGCCCCGCGGCTCTCACAATGCTGCCCCCAGCCCCGGACGCCCTAATTCTTCCCGGCGCCCTTCTCCCGAGCCCGCCCACCCCGACCTGCCTCCAACGCTCTCTCCCGAGCTTCCCCGGAAAGGAAATAATACGCCGCGGCGCGGGAGCCCCGCGAGCCCCGTGTACCTACAATACGGCGGAACTGGCGGAAAGGAAGAAGGCGGGCCTTAGCAGGCTCCTTACAAGGGAGGGCGAGGGCTGCCCGCCAAGGTGCCTACTTACAACGCCAAGAAAAGGGCGAAAACGTAAGCGAAGGGCAAAAGCCTCGCTCCCAAAAAAACACAGAAGTTATGTATAGATAATTATGCTTCTCTGATAAATAAGAGGCAGTGGGTGAATAAAAATTTGTGTTTGGATAATGGCAAGACAGCCTAGGAGGGGGCCTTTAAAAGTGTCCTGAGAAGACCCCCTCCTAAGCCCGCCTTCTTGGGCCCGCCTTCTTTTCCACCAAACCGGAAGCGGATCCGGGGCCCGTTTGTCACGTGGTAGAAATAACACGCCGTACGTCTTTGCGTATGTTTCTGCGTCTGTGCTTCGTATTTCTTTTACGTATGAGTCTTTAAAGTCATTTCCGTGTTACCTGTGGAGGTTTTAAGTGTGTTCTTGGTGACCTCACTCCAAAGCAGTTCTTTATCTTGTGTCAGAGACCCCTTTGACAGTCTGATGAAGCCTGTACGTCGCTTCTTACAATAAGATGTTTAAATACATAAAATAAAAAACACAATTTTGAAGGAAACCAGTTATTGCCCTTTTTTTTGAAGTTTACAGACCGCCACCCCACCCCCACCCCTGCAATTTAAGAACCTCTGCTGTAGAGCTGTTACGATTTTAGAGCTGGAAAGAACCGTAGAACTATCCCTTCCTCTCATTTTATGAATGGTGAAACTGACTCCCAAACTGATGGAATGATCTGCATAAGGACGGACTTAATTAATGGCAAACCGTGATGTTGAGTCCTGTCCTCTTCCATCAGACTATCAAATTAAGCAAGAATTATGTCCAATAGATGGAATTTGTGGACTTTATACAGCATAATATAAATGACCACAGAATTTTGAAATAGAAGGGATTTTGCTATCTTCAACTCTCTAATTTTACAAATGAAAAAGCAATAATAATGCTCAAATTAATATGTAATTATATGCATACACATACCAATATATTCTTCAATCTCCTCACTTTACAAATAAGGAAACAAATAATTAGTAGAAGTGAAATTAATTGCCCAGCATCTGATGGGTATTATGTGGCAGAACCGGAATTCATCCAGCAAATCTACTTCCTAAACTCTACGCACTTCTCTTTTAAACCCTGTGTAATACTTTGCAATCCAATAATGATTCAATCGAATACTTATTTAAGGCATAGATTATCGTAGGCAGCAGTATATTGCAGTCTAAAAAATAATAGTGCTCAGATTAATATGTAAGTATATGTATTCACAGACGGAGGAACTTACAAAACAAGGACTGTGCCTCAAGTCCCATTCACACAGAAAGTGCTTAATAAATATCTATTGAATTAAATCCCTGACTCCAGAAATTCACCCTCTTTCCATCTTCTGACTGTGATGAAAAACTACCTGTCTTACAGAAGACATGGTGTCGATTACTGCCTTCTAAAGTGTTGCCTTCTCGTCTCCCTGAAGCATTGGAGCAGAAGGAAGGACAGGCATTCTCCTTGTTCCTTGCATTCATTTGAATACATTGTCTTGGTCACCATTGCTTAGCAGCCTCTCCTCATTTGAAGTGGACTGCATCCATTTATATCATGTGGTCTGTATCTTATCAAAATAATCTGTCATACTCTAGTTCAGTAACTGGCTCAGAGTCTTTCCTTCCACCCCAAAATTCTTATTTTGGTCAAAAGCTTCCATCTTTTCATCTATTTCTTTGCTTCTGTCAGTGTTCTTAAACCTATTCTTCATCCTCACCATGTCCTCCAGGTCCTCCACCTTTCCCCATTTCCTTGTCCATCAATCTTGCTGGAGGGAAGTAACCTCATTTCCTTCCCTTTAAATTCTTAATTTCATATTTGACCCCTTCAACTCTTCAATATCCTTTATCCTGGAATTCCTTTTCCCCCCTTGTTCTTCTGACATTGATAAATGTCAGCTGTTATTTATACCTACCAACCTCCTTTTTCCCTCCTACTCACATGCTGCTGAACACTAATAAAGAAAAGTCACAAAACCATGCTGTTTTCACTGAAAACTTACAGTATCTACTCCCAACTGGGCCATCATAGCAATCCTTTTATTTCCTGATTAATTCTCTATCATATCAGTGGCTATTCCAAACCTTCTACAGAATTTCTTTTCCTGCTTCCTGTTATCAAAGCATCTTGCCTCATAAGTCAGAAAATAAAGCAGAGTGTAAAGCATTTACCTACCCTTCTCCCCTATTCCACAACTTAAAACCCCTATTCATAATCTTCTACTTTCTCTTTCTTTGCCTTATTCTCTCATGAAGTGGTGGCCCTTCTTTACCATTTCTCAATCATCTGAAAGATGTAGACAATATTATACTTACTGTTTGTTGATTATTTTTTAAAAAACATTTAACTTGGGAGAGCAAAGCACCACCTTAACAAGCTATTTTTCAGCAAGGTATGTCCCATCTGTACTTCTGTTTGCAGATGACATTGTGTTGGTTGCATTAAGCCTTCAAACATTATAGAACCTTCCTGGAAAAAACAAACAAACCTGTAATCATTCAAAATAGTGTGATTTGACTATCTACAGAAGAAAAACAAAGCAGATGAAGAAAGTCTATTGTTCTTTACTATGATATGCATTTAGATGGACAATGCATGGAGTTCATCCATCAGACAATACGGATGGACAACGGGTTTGGCCCAGCATTGAACCAGAGAAAAAGAATGGGCTCCATTGCTTTCAGGAAATTGCAAAGCTCTTTTAATGAGCCTGAGTTTCCTAAGGAAACTTAATCTCAACATTCTACTGCTGTTGCTGTATAGAAGGGAGACATGGAATATAGTAGTCTCTGAAGAATTAAAAATTAATATCACAGAGAGCAATGGAAAGGGGCATGGTGGGTTGAGCAGACTGCAAAATATAACCAATGTAGTTCAAATAAGAATATGAGTAAAAAATGTCATTAAGAGATGATGTGTTAGTCATTTGGTGAGGATTGAATGGGATGTCCCAGTGAAGACTTCTCAGTGTAATTAAGGTAATGAGTTCAGAAGGTAGTGTGAGAAATGAACTCTCAGAAGTGAAGGTTCCTCAAAGGGTCAAATAATTCTTGATTACTACTTTCAAAATCTTCCCCCACTCAGACCCTGTTTTTAAGTACTTAACAGAAAGAATAAGCCCTGCCCCACCCCCAACCTGAGCCGTTTGTCCTTGGCTTTGAATTTCACGCCTGGAATGTAAGCCCCACCTCCCGGTTAAGGGGATAGGAAGAAACTTTCAAGCTTAGAATGTAAGCCCCACCTCCCGGTTAGAATGTAAGCCCACCCCCAGTTAAGGGAGTAAGGAATAGTGGTGGGTGGAGACTTGTTTTCATGGTGGGTGGAGATTTGCTTTTATAAGGCGGCTCCTGTTAGGTGGTCTCTCTCTCTCTCCACGTCTATCGGAGGAGCAGACAGCCATCTGCCGAGATTCTAATAAAGGTAACCTTTGCTTTCCACTTTGAGAAGTCTCTGAGTTTAATTTGGGTTGGGGTCGCTGTCCCACACAGGATGAAGAATGACAGATGGATCTGTGGTATGACACTAGTACTTTCACCATGTCAGGGAAGGGGAAGGGAACAAACATTTTTAAAGCGCCTACTATGTGCTGGGCCCTGAACTAAACAGTTGACAAATCTCATTTGATCCTCACAACAACCCTGGGAGGTAGATGCTACTATTATCCCCATTTACAATTAAGGAAACTGAGGCAGGCAGAACTTAAGTGACTTGCCCAGGGTCACATGCCTAGTAAGTATCCATGGCTGGATTTGAACTCAGGCCTTCCTAATTCTAAGTCCGGTGCTTTATTCACTGGACCACCCGACTGTGTCGGGAGAAAGCAAGAAAGGCCTCTGGCAGTTAGGTGTACCTACTGTGGTGAAATTATGGGAGAATATGGGCAAGGTTAGCACAGAATGGGCAGATATGGATTGGATGCAATTTGTATTGTTGGACGGAAGTCCCAAATTCATGCACAGATAGATTTGAGTATCCCACGTGCCTAGAATATATGCCTTGCACATAGTAGGAGCTTGTTAAATGCTTGCTGAACTCAGGTAACTAGTCCATGGCTGCTTCTTGTGAGACAGATAAACCAGAAAGGGTTGTGAGCAGAGAACAAGGAACTTGATCCAATTTGTAAAATGACACATTGAACATTTTTTTCTTACAAAAATCTTTCATTTAAGCACATTACAACCATATTCGAGAGGCTGTGGTTCCTGAAATTGTTCCTATGTTTAAAGAACTGGTCTCAAAATAAGAAAGATATGGGTTCAGGTGCAATACTTCCAGGGAGACCTCAGGCTAGTTACCTGACCTCTCAGTACCCTGGGACTCCCACGACTATAAATTTTGGAGAAGGTACCAATTAATCGGGGCTCACTCCTCCAACGAAATCACAGGCCCAGTTAAAAAAGAAAAAAAAAAGGTGACCTTTTCTAGGAAGCATTTTTCTAGTAAAAGAAAGAAAATCCAGTGCCAAAGTATTACTTAATCATATGAAATTTGGGAACTAGATCCATTTCCCTGACTTTATCAGTCAATCAATAAGCAATTATTTAGTGTTTTGAATATACTGGGCTCTGTGCTTAATTGTTAGGGATACAAAGATAAAAGTTCCTACCCACAAAAACCTTATATTCTAAGGGGAGAGAAATGTGTGCATATATATGTATACAAAATAATACAAGATAATTTGGGGAGTGTCCATTAAGCAGCTGGAGAGGAAAAGGAAAGGCTTCATGTAGAAAGTGATAATTGATTGGAGCTTTGAAGGAAACCAAGGTTTCTGAGAGGGAGAGGTAAGGAGGGAACTCACTCCATGCTTGGGAGACAGCCAAAGGCCCAGAGGATGGAGATGGAGCTTAGTGTGGGGAGTAATATGTAAGAAGACTGGAAAGATAAGAAGGGCCAGATTGTGAAGAGATTCAAATACCAAACCAAGTTTATATGTGATACTGGAGGTATTAGGTAACTTATTGAGTGGAGGGAGGAGGGGGCATGAAATGATCAGACCTGCCCTTTGAAAAAATCCCTTTGGTGGCTGTGTGGAAGAAAGACCCAACCACACACTAATAGGATTATAGGAGTTAGAGTTTAGAGATTGTAGAAATCATCCATTCCAATCCTTTCATTTTGCACTTACTAATAAACTCTAAGCCCCAGTCATCAAATCCAATCACACAGAAGCCAGTTATCTCAAAGAAAGGTATTTGTGTAACTAGTTTCTTTCAACAGTCAATAGATCAATAGGCATTTATTAAGTGCCTACTGTGTGCTAGGCACTGTGCTAAGTGCTAGGAATATAAAGGCAAAACATAATCCCAGCTCTCAAGGAGCTAGGCAGCACAGTGGATAAAGTACTGGGCCAAGAGTCAGGAAGACCTGAGTTCGAATCCAGCCTCAGACACTTACTAGCTATGCAATTCTGAGCAAGTCACTTAACCACTGTCTTCCTCAGTTTCCCCATCTGTAAAGTGGAAATGGTAACAGCACCTACCTCCCAGAGTTGTTATGAGAATCAATTGAGGTAATAATTATAAAGTGCCTGGCATTTAGTAAGTAGTGCTATATAAATGTTAGCTCTTATTGTGATTATTATTATCACCATCTTCATTGGGATGATAATGGAACCTATGGGAGTTGATGAGCTATCAAGAGAAAAAAAGAAGATGTGTCACAGAATTATGGGTCCTTAGAGTTAATTTCTCCAACCCTGTCATTTTACATGTAAGGAATCTATAGCTTTGGGAGAAATGATTATTTCTTTCTTATGTTAATAACCAATTACTGAGTTAGTACTAAGGTTGTTGCCCTTTTCTATTTCTTCATTCAAAAATCAGGCACTGTAGGTTATTCAGGCAGTCTTTGAAGGTTGGGACTGATAATGAGATGAAATCTTGGGCAACACCTAGAAAACTTGAGTGAACTGGTGGATTCTGGTCCGTTGCATCAGTTGGACAAGTCTAAGTAGAAGTGAATTCTCCCTTTTGTCTAGATAACCCTGGATGGGGATGGTATGAATATAGATAAGTCTCTTTTTCCAAGACTAAGTGACCAGTTTCCAGACCCTGATTAGAATAAGTCCACCTCTTATAATATTCTCTCATTACCTGTTAACCATTCAGTGTTGATTTCCACACTCAGGAACACCCACTCTTCCAAAAGCATATAAACATTGAAGGAGTTCCATGAGGGGTCTTTGGTTTAGGAGAGACAGCCAAATGAACCTTTTATGAATTATCCACTAGCCATAATTAATAAAATGGTTGTTAATTACCCAGAAATTATGTCTCTCAAACTTTTAGGAAAATAAGTGACTAGCTCAAAGTCACGTGGTTGGTTGACAGTGTCAGGATTGGAATCCAGGTCTCCTAATTATTAGTTTAGTGGTCTTTACACTAAATAGCTCTTCTTTACATCAATCCCTCTTCTTTACATGAAATAAAAATCAAAATCTCTCAACTATTTCCCTCCCCTCCTCCCCCTTTTTTAAAATCTAACCCCTCTCTCATTTTCCTATCCTTCTCTTCCTCTCTATGCTGTGCAGCTGCCCTTCAGTATTTTGGCCTGAAATTGAAGAGGAGGTATGGAAAAGCTTCAAGGTGAATAAGAGAAATGGGTTCAACAGGTTTGGGGGGATAAGAAGGAGGGTGGGCCCTTGAGTAAGTACTGAAAAGCAAGCCAGTATGTCCTCCAAACTGATCCATCTTGGCTGCTACCCCAAACCCCTGTGACCTTCAGCCTTTTAAGCACACAGTGTTATGATTTCCTCAGGTTGCTTCTAGCACCACCATCCTGCTCACCTGGAGGTGATTGGAAATGAGGCCCAAACAGCCTGAATCCAATAGATTATGAGGTCTTACTGTATAGAACAATGCTTTGAGAATGTATATTTGGTTTGCTATTTGTTGAATTAAACTATATCAGTAAATACCCAGTAATTGAATTCACTGTGCTGTTCTTTATACAAGATGACACATTTAATGATCTGCTCTAAGATGGATGTGCATTTTGACCTATTTGGTATTTTTTTTCTCCTATAGAAGGAACAGATTTACACCAGTTTGCTCATATTATGTGCAGCAACACACATTTGTGAAATGTGGCTGGCGCTGAGTACAGCCTGTAGGCTTGGCACGGGAAAAGCTAATAGGTTTAAGTGAGATTGGCCCATGACCTTGACTTTATTAACATCTTAGTGTAAACATTAGCTAAGGATACATGCCACTAATTTACATGCTAAGTAAAAAGAGACTGTAAGTAAAAGGGAATCACTAAGCTAGATTCTTTCAAGGAACCAATAAGCACGTGGATAGTGTTGACCTTACTGGTATTGGTGATAGGTTTGATTAGGAAATGTTTAAGTTTCTTTAAGCTCTAAGAGACTCTGATGATGTAATTCAGGTGTTTTTTACATTATGATGAAAAAAAATCTGAGCCTAGAAGTAAGAGATATTGGTTTAGTGTAGATGAGGGCTATATCTCTATGATCTTTAACATTTACTAAGTCATTTAGAATAATTTCCATTACAACCAGCTTTTTATTTTTTGCATGCATATTTGTTCATAGCAAGTTTTTAAATCCAGAGCGCTCTTTTTTGCATGTGATTTCTAGTATGCTCCAAGATGCCTTCTGGTGCTGGCCATGACTCAAGCCAGTCCCCTGATAGTTTAGATTAAATATTGTAATGAAATGAAATACTTGTAGAAGATCTGACATTTAATAAAGGAAGATTTGTTTAGCCATAGCAGGGTAAGGTCATTCAACAAGGATATTCAGTGAGAACACTGTATTGACGAATAAATACATTTATTAAAAAAGCATTTATTAAGCACTTAATATATGCAGAGCACTGTGCTAAGTGCTAGGAATGCAAGTACAAAAGTCTGACAGTCTGCTCTCAAGGAGCTCACATTCTAATGGGGGTAGGGGGTAAAGGGGTGGGGGGGGAGACAACACATAGAGAAGGTATTGACTTCAAGTCAGATGGAAAGCCATGGTCCTTAGGGCACAGCAGCAAAGCATCTTCTTTAACAGCATCTCTACTGAGATGTTGTACCTGTTTCTGAGGTTGAACCATTGATAATGCCAAAGAGTTTAGTGGCAAACACTCTTCTTTTCCACGGCTTCAGGAGTTGTGGCTCCTGAGGAGGCAGGGTTGCAGCCCCTGTAGAACCAATTACCAGGT